TTTTTTTTTGAATTTATCCTTTTTTTTGTTGGTTTTTAAAGAAAAAATAGGATTAATTTGTATAAAATCACTCAAACATTTGTTTACAATTTAGTTTCGACATTGTTTTGCATGAATATATTGTAAATATTTTAGGAAATTTGATGTCGGCATTTATACAGTGATAACATCAGTATCGCCACTACGAGTCTATGTATATGACGGTGATGTGCTATTGCGATTCTGCAATCAAAATTACAGCCCGTTTGACCCTGAAGTACCGGATAAATATGTTGTTGGTGATGACTATACACCGACATGGGAAGTTAGAATTTTAGATTCTTAGTTGGTAACTTTTATAACACTACAATTTTGAGATATTTCACCTATAAACATTGAGAACAAATTGTAAACCTTTAAAAAAATCTACTGGACGCGGTTTGTAGATGCCGTCTCTCAAGCAGTATTATGTTGATCAACAGTTGTCGTTCAAAGAAACTTTTAATGCTTATATCAAATCATTGGGTGCCGATCCAGAGGATATTTGGGATGCTATAAAAGATACAATTGCTGAAGTAAGAAAAACATCTTATAATTTCTTTTCAGCTAAATTTATGAATTTAATAATGACTAGTTTTGTTTGCTAACTTATAAGGACAGTCTTTTTTACAGGTATTTCAATCGCAACAAAAAAATTTAATTGATGCGGCAAAAAAGTTTAGCGACAGAAGGTAACCAGATGATTTTAAGCTCTTTTTACAGTTATTAATAAACTGTCTTCAAACGGTTCAAAATTACTGATACGACAACGATTTAGCTGAAAAAAAGTGATAAATCTTGGATGTTTAATTACAGAAAAAACTTCATTTTTTTGTAATGAAATGTTAAAAAACTCTGTTTTTACGGTATTGTCATGAGGTCCATTGCTGCTAAAAAACCAAAAAACATGCGAATTCTTTCTGCTAAAGATACTTTGTAGAATAAGATACGGCAAGATTTATTTATAAATTTACAAGATCAGCTTGAGAAAGCAGGTATTACTAGGTAAATAAAGATCAAAAAAATTTAAAACTCTGAGTTATTTTTAATGATCAATTTATAATTTATGTTTTTTAGTCTCTAATTTGTTCGTTAATTGCCACTTTTTTGATGGTCTCAAAAGCTGCATCTTTGTTTAGATGTTGTTTATAAAGGTAGTTAAGGTTTACTGTTAGTTTTTGTGCTTTTGCTAAATTATCAGGGGAACATCGGCTTTTTTGTGCACTTCTAAAACCTAATCTATTGTAATACTGATAAGTTGAAAATAAAATTCAAAAAAAATTTGGGGCTTAATGTTTGAATAGTAGATGAAAAACTGTAAAATCTGATATACCGATTTATAGTCAAGAAATGTTAGTTTATTATACTGGTAAGACTACGTTTCTGCGCTTATCGAGTTTCAGCGGATAGATAGTAGCGAGAGAAACCAAACAAGATCGAAAAAGTAAGGTTTAATTTCTCAAGAATGTGCAAGTTTTGCGAAGAGGAGGAAATAAAAAACAATTTTTTACAAGCTGGAAAAAATCATCTTTTATCGATAAACTTTTGAGGTATATTTGCAGTAACGTGTTAACAAAAATTAATCTTTTTATGTGGTAGCTTTGACAAAGAAGTATACAATCTTTCCGCACAGATTCACAGTTCTCATCTAATTTACACAACCAGTAATAGATCTGAACAGTCAGCTTGAAATAAATTGAGTTTTATACTTAATAGGCTTAAGACAGCAAAATAACGTGGCAGAAAAAGCTTGGTCTTTTTTCTTAATTTTTTGAGATTGACAGTTTATACAGACCTGATTACTTCCTCAGTTTACGCTGGATACGAAGAACCAATGGACTTTACTCATACTCTATCTTAAAAAAGTAGTCTTTTAAATGTCAGTTATATTGTTAGATAATAGTTTATTTAGTCGGGTTTTTAGATCATTCTTCGAACTCAGTCGGTTCGACTTCCTAATCGACTCTAATTTCAAAGTTTATTTAATGGAGGTTACTTTTTGAAGTCTTCTATTTTGATAACTATTATTCAGTAATTACTGTCACTTACATACATAGATCAAACTTGTCTAAGTTGTCTAAATGATATATGAACGATAATTTAGGCTAACATGTCCCCAAATTTGTCAGCAGCTCATTTCCCTCAAAATCGATTGCTCTATGAACAGGTGCTGTATAATTTATTTTCGTTGGTTGGTGTCTCTCAATTTCTCAATGGAAACAGCTTCGAGAACAACTTGTAAGATAGTTACCAATTATTTATTTTACTTTTTACACTAAAATAGAGAAGCACCTTGAATGTTAGAAAGTAAAAAACTATGATTACTGTTGTAGAAACGTTTTACATGCCGAGTAAAGCAGGAAGTGAAAGAAAACCTTATATACGTTTACCTTCTTATACAGTTGAAAATCAATGACCTGTCTCGATTAAACTGCTGATTCTTCACTTTTTTTAGACAGACGCTGTTTAAATAATTTAAAGCTTTAATTCTTTACTTTTTTGCTTTTTTCTTATCTCACACTCTTAAAAGCAAAGCGCTTTTGTAAAATTCAATTTTTAATTTATGCAGTTTTCACTGATAGACAGAGGAGTTTACGAAAACAATCGTGGGAACAGTTTAAAGAGTAATAATTAACTTGTCACAGAAAAAACTTCTCAACAATAATCATTTTTTTACAGGCTAAAGCTTAACTGAAACTAGTTCAAAGGTACCTTTATTGAGACATTAAGACAGACTTTTCTTTTACAAAATGAGAGCTTTGCAGTTAGCTATGACATAATACATTTACTGTGAGCCTTTAGCATAACGGTACTCAAATAATTATTTGATCTGTTTTAGCAAAGACAGAAAAGTTCGTGAGATGGAAGTGTCAAACAGAGACCTGGTCAGTGCTTCCGAAGATTGTGTCAAAATTTGTGCTGACAAAGATCAGTGCAAAAAAAAAGTTGTAAGTTTCAATTTGGTTTTAATTTTTAGAATTATTCGTAGTGATTTTGATACAGTAAGCTGCAATAAAATACCAATCTTATTTCGCTGACAAAAAAATTGCTTGATTTTTTGTAAACTATTTTTTCTAATGCTGAAAAGTAGCAGATTTTGTTTCAGAAATGTCAGTTGTGCAATAACTGCATGACTTATGGGCAAAAAATTGTACTCAGAGCAGCTTACGAGGAGCACATGTCAAAACGAATGTTTCGACGAGTGTTACCAGCAACAAAGCATAAGCCAAAGCACGTAAATAGGATGTACAGTGAAGCTGATAGAGTTCTGATACTGTGGTTTGATGAGAAGTGCCAAAAAGACGGGTCATGGTGCCAGTAAAGTTTTGCTGATCGCATCATTTTTTGGCTTCAACAAATTAAAGAGTTCAGTTGTCTGTCCATTAAGTTGTTGGTTGAACTATGATTATACTGTCGTTTCGTTGTTTAGGAAATTACTTTCAGATTTATCTTGAAATCCTGCAGTAACGTCGTTCTGTCCACTACTTTTTGGCTTTAAAGATCTCTTTCTTTTGCTTATGCCATTGATTAACATAAAACACTCAACTGATCATTCAGGAACTAAGAATTAAGAATTCTTGCAAAAAAAAAAAATGAACACTACAGTTAGTTGCTGTTTATTATATATGTCACTCATCAAAAACAACTGTGATAAGTTTGCTTAAACAGGGTTTTCCCGTTTTTGCTATATTCTTGTGCTAGGAAAAATTTTTTTCTGGAAAGAACTGACAGTCGTTAAAGAAGATTCTATCTGCAAAGAATGTACTACAAAGAATAAATTAATGTCGATGTGTGTTGTCGTTGTTGCTTAATAATTAGCACATCACAATGCAAACAGTTAAAAAATATTCTAGTTTGATCAAAGGTGTTGAGCTACTATTACCGTAATTATTTTAGAATTTTATTCAAATGTAATATGAAAATTGATAACCGGTCATACAGCACTATTGAAGCCTCGAATGAATTGCCTTTATTTCTGCTTTAAAGCAAAGAAAGAGATATTTGAATTGAGCTAATTGATGACTGGTATCTTAACAGCTTGTAATTAAGCTGACTTAGCTAATGCATAAACTTTTAGTCTATTTTTTCGCTTTTAAGAAATAAATCTGAAAAAAAAAGCATACATTGAGAAATTTTGGACTGCGGTTCAGGATAATTCGTGTAAAAACTGTTGCGGCAACACAGTTTTATGAAGCAAAAAACCTGCTGAAGGGCATTCTAATAAATCTGCCAGGATAGCTCTTGTTCTTGTAAAAAAAATTTATGCCGCTGTGAAGGCGTAGTGCTGAATATGTTAAATTTTTTAAGAGGAAACATAGAAAAGAAAAGAAGAAAAAACGAAACGATAATGATAAATGTAAAATAGCAACATTTACAACTGTATAAATGTTCTGCATTGAATTAACAAAGAATCTAAGCGAGTACTTGAAGCCATTTGGTATTTGGGAACACTGAGCACTTTTGATTGTTCAAACTTTTTATTGTCAGTATAAAATCAAAGTAAATAATGTTGAGCTTTGTGAAGTTCAGTTTTTGAAGACAATAAGACAACTTTAAAGAGTAATTTATGTTTTACAGAAAGAAAACTAATTGTCTGCTCTTTGTTTCGTAAAAAATTTTTGTCTTTTTTTGTTATTTTATGCAGCTTTTATAGATAGTTGTTTATATGCAACAAAAAAAACCCAACTGTTTTGTTATTTTTATTTTTGTTGCCAAAAAAAGAAAAAACTGAGGTTGAAGTTACCAAATTAAGATGAATAGAATGTTTGGAGAGGTCCTCTGCTGACAGACACACTTTACAGAGACTGTTTATGCGATGTGCAAATAAAAATGGTTTAACAAAAAAATTGAACAATCTTTTGGTGAATGGTTTAATTTTCGAGATCACAATTTGAGAATGATAAATAAGGCTCAGCCGGAAAAGAATATCAGCCGGTAAGACTTCAGGAAACAATGTTATACATCAAATAGTCTATCATTGACAGCAAAAACCGGAAGCAATTAGTAGCACAGGAAACTGTTGAGTAACGATGGTTGATGCGCCACTACAGAATCTGTTGTCAACTTCTTAAAATTGATATGCTTCTTTTTTTTTTTTTAAACTAAATTGAATCATTTTTTTTTTAGAGATCAGTGTATTTCTGATGCATAATGTCAGCAGACAGTCTGAGTTAAATGTCGCCAAAAAAAAAGTGTAAATTGTGGCATAGATAAGGTTTTACTGCGGTATTTCGTCGGCTGATTATCACTCTTATCAAAGCTTCAGATTATATTTGTTTGTAGAGCAAAATCTATATAATTGATTAAACTATGTTCAGAATTTGATCTCTAGACCAGTATGTTTTACCTGAACTGCAGATACTTTTGCATTATAATAGAGTCAT